GCACTTCTTTCAGGAGTAATTTACTCAAATAATACCGCGATAATAGAATTATGGCTCAGAAATGGTTCATTGCGTGTCTCCTCAATTCGTATTAAAAGTAAATCAGAACAATGAAGAAAACTTGCTCGATGTAGATGAATGGAACCATTTGCCGTGGAAGCATAATAGATTATTACTGTTTTCTTCTTTTCAAGCAATAAGAAAGCGCTTGTTACAGGAGTTCAGAAGCTCGCAGAATTAACGATTTAAATAACTGATTCCTATCCATGAATTTTCTTAGCTTTCAGATTTTTGAGTGTCTTCATCTTTCTTTAAAAGTGTATTTTCAACTAGTCTGTACTAATACTTTTTATTTTTAATTCGTCATACATGCATATTGTTTTCATGATGAGTTTTTAAAAATGTGACTGGAAATAAGTTCAACATTAATTTTAATACAAAAACTAAGATTGTGATAAAAAATTAATGTATTTTATTAGTCCATTTTTAGCAGCAAATCCGATCATAAATTGATTGGGACTTGCTAGTAATAGCAAAATATTTCTGAGTGTGAACATATAGCTTTTTTAAAAGCCGAAATTTAATGTTGAACTATACGATTCATTGTGGAAGTTTTGATGCTACACGTGAGGTGATAGTAATGTGAGAGAAAAGTTATCGCTAACGAGTTTTTCTACAAGTGATAACTTTTCCAAAGCAGGCTTGAATTTGGGGAGTGATTTGAAATATCTTCAAGATGTCTTATTTCTACTTTTTGAAAATATTGAATTGGGGGCTCTCAAATTTTATGGAGGGTTGGTATGCTGCCTAGCACAGTGAAAGAATCGATAAACTGACTTAGAACCGAGCAATTAACTACAAGCCTTATCATCTGCATGGTAAGTTGTAACAGTTTATTCAATTTTTTTTTGTAAATAATTATCGTAATTAAAAGCAATAGCATCACCAGAGGTAAGCAGAGCAATACTAGAGGTGAGTGGAGTAACAAATATTAAATACTTTATATTCATGTAAGCTAATGCAACGTACTTGTATTAGATTTTTTGCATTTATTGGCTGACATACTACCAAAAATTGCTTGCTCAACTGCCTGTTTACTTTTTGAATATAACAAGAATATTTTTAATAATAATTTATCATGATTATTTCTGATCGCTCATTGATCCAGTTGGATTTGCTAGCCATGGATATACTTCTGAGCAAGGATTGCAACTAAGAAACTGATGCTCTGCAGTTGGAAGTTCGGGAGTGTGGTACATACAACGGTTTGCGGTCTTGCAACTGTTGTTTTCCCCCTCTTTGTTCATTTTACATCCTAATGCATCAGACTGGAAAAATTGAGATAAGGTTTCCATGTTCTAATTTACTCCACTTATTATTTATTAACTTTAAAAAATAAAAAAATTTCTTTTTGAGAATAGGATTCTGATGTTTACTTTTAACTCTTTTTATTGAGATATTCT